ATCTATCTATCTATCTACCAATCGCTTTCATCTAAAGCATCTCTACATAAGGCTGGCTAAACAAATTATCCCATCCGACCTCTTCGGTTGCGGATGCTGTTTTTGTTAGTTTGCCACGATCTGGCTCGTTTTCTCAACATTCTTATCATCAACACAACGCATCCTTTCAGTATCCGCTTAGCTCCCCTCGTGCTCACGCCCGAATCAACCTTTTCAGTGTACAAGCTCGTTTTTTATGTACCGACTTGCCAGGACTCTTCTGTCCTTTTTACCCCATGTACAAATTGTCTTTTTTCCCATCCTCCAGACTAGCTGCGTCGTATTTCTAATTAATTTGTTGCATATTCTTGCGCATCAAATTGCCTTTAAGTACTACTTTGTCAGATCAGTTTATTTATCTTTAAGACTTGTATGTTCATTTCGCGTTTCACCTCATCTTACGTCTTCCCCAGCTTTAAATCTTCCAAGAAGCAATTTGATGTCATCTACTGGCCTGCTTCCATTCTTAAATTCAGGGTATTTATATTATCAGCGATCTGGACGGTGCTCAAAGATGAAATTGCTGGCAATGATGAGGTATAATAATCTTTTTATGTATATGTGTGTGCACATATATCTCTGTTCACACATGTATAGGTTTTTGATATTCTTAAGCAATGCGAATGTCCATTAGTCTATTATTTCTATTTCTTGGTGGTAGCAGCACTTGCGGCGCATTTATTCCCTGCTTGCAAATATGACTTATTGTTTTGGGTTCAATAGGCCTATTTTCTCTGTATTTCTTTATTGTCTTTGTATTCTATTTTTATAACTTTTTCTTAATTTACTGGTCCTCTGCCTTGTCTTGATTGTGGCTCTGTATTCTCCTATCGAGTCCAATTTTAGCTCCCACAGCTAGGCAATTTTTCCCAATCCAATTTTCTTTATTATTTCCATAATATCGCCCTATGACTTTTGACAATGTTACTTGCAATCGACACGTTGCTTATTACCTTCCGAAAAACCTGTGCAATGAATCGTTTGCCGAAACTTGTCACTTGTCAATTCTGATTTCGGCTAGACAATAGCAATGTTGGTGTTACCAAGACAAGTCGAAAAGTCTGCGGTACTGTTGTCTGAAGGTATCGGGTCTGGTATGTCCATGAGGATTGTGTGTCGGTAAGGCTTGAGTCTAAAGGTTTTGGGGCTTGGAATTATGAAAATGTTTCGCAGTTTCTTAAAAGGTTAAAAAGCAAATGCATTTCTCTTGGTTCCTTTTTCGCAACCCAATTTCAGGATAATTTGCTAGTTTACTGAGACCGCTAAACACAATTCTTCCTGCATTACCGAGCCCTAATTGTGTAGTAAATCTATCAACACTTATTCCATTGAGTTGCTTTGTCTACTAACCATCTTTCCCAAAGTATTTTAACACTATCCATATTTTATTGTCAAAGCAACAAGTTGGTAGAAAGCATTTCGGGCCTTTGTTCGGTATGAATTCTATAACCAACAGTCTCTCAGACTGCGTATATTCGGTTACTAAGGCGTCCTATTTTCGTGGCCAAGACAAGTTAGACGCTGTCTTTTTTGAGCCTCTCGGTGCTAACAGGCTCTTCTTACTTTGTCTCGACTTGCAGATTGTCTCAGGCACGTGTCTGGCAATGGCGCTCTTGTTCAGTCCAGCCTGCTCAAAGGACAGTCGTCTCGAAGTATCTTTTAGTCGGTTCGAGATAGTCCTCCTGATTTGTCAAACCCAAGCCCCAATCGGTATTAAATGTCTCAGAGAGCGAACAAATCTTCGGAATTGCGTCCTAGTTTTTCACACTTTTTTTCTTCATCGATGAAAATCTCGTTGGTTTCTTTTTATTTGGGATTAATGCAAATGTTTATTGTCTTTATCTGGCCGCCTTTATCCGCAGAGTTTTAATTTCAACCTTACTCTCATCTCTACTTCTTTGGTCCCTGTTTGTATTTTCTATTTTAACTGATTTCTCTTGTTAAACCTTTTCTTTTTTTTCATTTACACATCACCCAGTTTATATCTCATCTCATCTCATCTCTTCTCCTCTTCTTCCCGTGTAGAATGCCTTTTGTCTTTGAGTTGCACATGCCTTTTGTCCACCTGCTGGGCTGCCGATCACAATCAAGGCTCTCTATTTCTCTTTTTTTAATGACTGCATTCCATTGCCGTGTGGTGAGCTCTTCCTGTCACGTTTTCACACGACTTTGGCCGGTTAGCTCTAACGCCTCCGTTGGGAGCATCAGCAACCTTTGCTTGGAAGCATGCCATTTCGAGGCTAATCCACGCCGACTACTCTTGCCACGAAGCTGGTGGCTTCTCTTGTCAACCCATGCTTGGGCTGTGTCGAGCTAATCTTTGCTAATCTCGTCTGACCAAAGAATGCCCATTTTCAGATTGGCACTCAAGCCAGCATAACCAAAAGAGAGTCTGCAAGTCACAACTG